AAAATTTAAATTACCGAAAAATATTGAAGAAAAAGGAATTTGTGCCCTTTTTACTTTAATACAAGAATATGAGAAAATTTAAAATTTAAAGTTTGCTAGTATTTAAAGAACCCCTAACCCTAACTTGGAATAATTAACACTTTTCTAACGTGAAGTCCAGAAGTTAGGTAATCAGAACTTAACTGTTGATTGTGGGTGCCGAGATAGTCAAGGATTTTAACTGTAATATGTTGAGCAACTTAATCCAGGATCAGAAACTGTTATTACTCACAGCACACTGACTGTCAGTTACTGTTACTTTACCAGCATTACTCACAGCACACTGACTGTCAGTTACTGTTACTTTACCAGCATTACTCACAGCACACTGACTGTCAGTTACTGTTACTTTACCAGCATTACTCACAGCACACTGACTGTCAGTTACTGTTACTTCACCATCATTACTCACAGCACACTGACTGTCAGTTACTGTTACTTCACCATCATTACTCACAGCACACTGACTGTCAGTTACTGTTACTTCCCATCATTACTCACAGCACATTGACTGTCAGTTACTGTTACTTCCCATCTTTACTCGCAGGACACTGAGAGCCACTTATCCAAGGGTTTACACATCACTTTCGTTCTACGTGGTGATGGTTGACGTCAAACCGGATTGCCCAGTATTATAATTATAATTCTAAAATATTTTTTTTGTAATTTCAGCCATTACAAAATTTCTAAAAATTGTCTTTATATTGGGTGCCTTTGTAAATGAAAAGTTACAAATAACATATAATTCAAAATGGCCATTTTAAACCTCAACTCAACCGTTCGTGTCTTTCATTTAGCTTTTAATCCTTACACACCTCGCCAGAGGGGCGAAAATTGCATGTTCCAATACCGGACGTTGTTACTGGAATGGTAATAGACAAGGCTATAAAATGAAGTATGTAAATGTATACAGAAAAGAATTGAAGACGAGGGATGATCCTCTCATTTACTTTATTTCACATGATAACCTTGTACTGTATTGATAAAGCCACTGAAAGGTGAAACTTACAAAGATACCCTGATGTTTTTACATGTGTCTATTTCGTACACGGAACGTTTGATGACCGAGTGTTGTTTAGGTTGGAATGTTCACAGGAACTTGTGAGAAATGTTCGACGGAACTTGTAGATAATGTGTCGACAGGGAACTTGTGAGATTAATTTGACAGGGATTTTGAGAGAATGTGTTTGTAATGTGTACATTGTAATGTATCTTTATCATAAGGGGAAAGAAACTTGAATTATTTTAAAATTACTGTGTAACTTTAAAATAATTGCAACACCACACACACACACACATCCAAAAACCTACGCCCCCTAAGTCATGCTATGTTGTTCCACCTCAACAACCCCTCCTCAGCCCTCTGGACAAAATTACTAGCAACCACGGACGTCCTTCAAAAACCCCCAAGCTACGAATTCTCTGTTAATTTTTATTTTATAATATATATATATATATATATTTAATATATATATTTTATATATATATATATATATATATATATATTATATATATATATATATATTTTTTATATTTTATATATATATTATAATTGTTTTAGAGGACATGTTTTAATAAGGATGGATTTTTTAGGAAATCACAAGCAAACCCAGTCATGAACTTAGGCAGAGTAACAGGGTTATTGACTATAGCCCTACGGGAAAGTATGTATGACAGAAAGGCCCTAGGCGAGTGAAAAGGGCTAGACATATGTTTCGACGTCAGCCAATAAATATAAACACTAAATTCCAAATTTTACCTAAAAAAATTAAATAAAGATAGAAGTATTTTGAAAAAATGAAAAAAAAAAAAAAAACATTTCCCACTCTTCGCCAAAGCAAAGGGTCAGGACAGAAAAAAAGGAAAAAAAAATATATATATGTATATAAATTATTTTATTGGGGAAGGGGGACTGAAACTACAAAAGTGACAGACAAAACCACCATAAAATATACATAATAAAACTTAATAGGTTATATATATATTATATTTAATATTATATATATATAATATATATATATATATATATATATATATATATATATTATATATATATATTTATATTATATATATAAATACGTGTGTATTACACACATGTCCAAAATCACTTTTAAAAGCAATTTAATCATCTCTAAATTTTTAGAGATGTAGTCATTAAATCAAACGAAAACACAATGGTATTT